CCAGCCATGAGCGGGGCCACTCCTGAAATTTTGTCAGTGCATGCAAAGGCATTGCAACATGCAATGTACTTGCTGACCAGCCATGCTATCCAAAAAAGCACATTGCCATGTGCAAGGAATGGGCCCAGTTCTGTCGGCACAAAACCATGAAATTTGGCTTCGTCGTGGTTGTATATATTCTGCCCTGCACTTAACAAAGTCAAAAAATCACTTCCCTTATTTTTGACATGTTTCAAATCTCCCCATGAGTTGGGGAGAAGGCTGGGATGTCTGGCTTGAACCCCCCAAACATAGGGCACCCCGTGAAGTCACAGCTTTCTGTCTTTAGGACCCGTTGTGATTCGGTAGGGCATAGAACAAGCATGTGCTCTTTAGTACCATCCGTACAAAATTACAGCAGCAGTGCTGCCATTGAATCTCTGTCTACACATTCAAGCAAGGATATGATTCTCTAGAACATGTGGACAATCAAGTCTCTGACCCCTGTTTGGACTTTCGGCGGATGACATGTTTTTTTCTTGCTGGTCACCCTGATTGAAACTATTTATTTTCAAAATGCAGCTGCGCTTAAGGAAATCAGTGCAGTAAGGGGAGGGCGTGCCATACCCCCCCCTTAGCGAGGTCGGTAGCGCTATCCCTGAATTATTTTCACCTGCACTTAAGGAAATCACATGGAGGCTTACTGCAGTCGGTAGCGCTACCGACTGCACTAAGGGGAGGGCATACCAAGCCCTGTCACTAGTGAGGTGATTTCCTTAAGTGCAGGTATGAAACTTTTTGAAAAGGTGAATTATTTTCAATTCTAAGTTCGAATTGGGGGAGATGGTCCACTATCAAAGGAGAGAGTAGGAGAGAGAGGGGCGTGAAGCCTGGCTGCCTGACCGATTGTTCATTTAACAACCAGAAGTGAACTTTACGGCTACAGGACCGTTTGGCTGCATGACAGATCTCCGGTTTGGCTGCGTGAGGGTCTCCTTTCCTTTACCCTTCTCCCATGGGCAGGTTAACCCACCTTTTCTATTCGGGTTTTAATGTTATTTATTGATTTTATTGGATTCATCATTGAGTACTTCCGAGCTGCGGTCCCAGCAGCAATTATTTTTAAATGCAGGAATTACATTTTGACATCTTTAAGTGCGCCCCAGTATTGTAAGTTATTATACTAGTTATTATATATATATAATATATATGCATCAGGTCACCAGGTCACCCCAAGTGAATGCCACTTCATCTTCCCCCACCTCTCCCCACTTTGTCCTTCCTCACACCCTCCGACACATTTGTCTTCATCCTCTCCAAGCAGAGAGACCCAAGGAAATCCCTTGGTTCCGCTGGCCCGAACGTCTCCAGAAGCCTCGCCTTGCACGGTGCCGTCGTTCTTGCCCTCGGCCGCATCGAGGTCGATGCCGATCCAAGGCCCTGGCGCGCGTCGCAGTGCGGGACGCCGGACACCGACCACGAGGGCGAGCCGGGCTCACTTGGAGAAGCGAGGCAAGAAAAGCCATGATTTTTCTTTGGAGAGATCCGAGCAGTAAAAGAAACAATGTGGCCAGGGACTTTTGCCAGGGACTTTTACCACCATGCTGATGCTGGTGTAAGGGGTGCTGAAGTGGATTTACATTCATGTATGATCATATCAATCATATCTGGTTGCTGGTTGTTGTCAGTGACATAAAACGCTCAATTATCCCAGCGCTGCATGGTCATCTGCACTTGATTTGTTTCAACATGTCTGGATCTAAGACAAGCAGGTCCTAACCACGGCTAAGCATCTAAGGAATCGATCGAATCATCGGCTAAGCATGGTTGCTCACGTGCTGCTACTATGAATGAAAGGATGACTTCGTTATTCACTTGTCTTCGCTTACGGAAACCTTCGTCCTTCTACGTTCTACAGTATCCATGTTCTAGGCCTTTCCTCGGTGTTTTGTGGCACCGCAAAACGGGCCATCTTCCGCGGCCCCCAACGAAGCGGTGCTGTCGGGGTCCACGGAACGAGCTGCAGTACGTACCACCGCCGCTGGTGAGTGAGCTGCTTGTTGAGAAGGTGGTTCAAACATTCTGCAACCTTTTTTTTTGGGGGGGCCTGTGGAGATACTCCCGGTACGAGTACCCGGAAGGACAACTAAAGACCGGACCAAACAACATAATTTGTGACTTATGACTCGTATGCCCTCTGCGATTTCGTTTGACAGTAGGCATTTGGTAGAGGTAGTTGGGCGTGTGGAAAAGGAAGGGTTCTGACTGCGGTTCTACTGTATCAGTCGGTCACACTGTTGTCTTGAAGCTACCGATGCCCATTGCTTCGTCATCATAAGAGGAAGCCGAGGTGCAGCTAGGTGTTGTCTTACACAACTCCTTGCACTTCTGGAACATGCTTGCGACAGTCGGTCTGTTGGTCACTTTTGAGATCATTGTTGGTCACTAAGCGCAGAATCGCGTATCAACATGTCTGTATGAGGACTTTGGATCATGGGTCCGGGTGGGTTCAGAATTGTGTCATTGCAAAGGGGTTCACATCAAAGCAGGTCTCCACAGGTCTGGGATCCAGGAGGCTTCAAGACATGCTAAAGCCATCTGCAGTTGGTTGCCTCCGTCCGGGGACGTATTCAAAGTCACCCAGGGAACCATGACGCTTGTCTACACCCCCGTCTAAAGATATGGTCATGGAACGGCGACAGCTCGTAGTTTCTTAGATCATCTCAGCCTACATGGTTCCCAGCATTTCCCACAGGCATCTCTATACACATTCTCCAACCACAGTTTTCAGACGTATCTGCGCACTTCCACCCCATCACGCGCACCATCTTGAACCCCTCCGTTCGCCCCTCGTTTGACTCACTTCTGCCTACGCGCTTCGCCGCGCGCGCCGTCCACACGCCGCGCACCCGCTCGGCCGCGCCTGAGGCGAAGTAGGTCGCACCCAAGAAGCGGACGGTGCCCTCCAAGCCGTTCCTCTGCGTCAGCTCATAAGGCGCGACTGGAGGTGGGGGAAGCGTCCAACGTGGAATGGCACATATTGGACAAAATACACATTCAGCCTTGAAAACTAACAAGCACAATGGATGTATAAATGACATTTGTAGCATTTTGTATCTATGCCAGTCCCACGGAGTGTCTGGGTAGGTCTGGTTAGGATTGCAAAACAGTTCTAGACATGTCTAGAACCTCCTGTTATTTTTCCCTCAACGTAGCTCAAAAAACAAATTATATTGAGTGAGGTCTGGGCACAATATACGAAAGGCAGGGCAGGGTACCAAAAGGTATAGCAGAAGCAAAACCCGGGCACAGCACATTCAGCACAGGTGCAATGAACTAGCATTTTGCACAAGGCACTGTATACACACTGCATCGAAACATATCGAAACTCTACTTTTGCACGTTTGAAGGCACCGGCATGTCTTGCAAAACGAGCAACCAATGGGCACAACACATTCAGGCCAGTTCACATGAGGCAAAAGCAGCCACAATTCACTGCACACATTGTGGAGGCGCCAGGTTTGCATGTTTCGTAAGAAGAGCAGCCACTCCAACCCTAGCGATCCACATACCCTCTGAGAAGGTGAATGGAGACACTGTTGGTGCCAAGAGGATCCAGTCGTACCGGACCAGGTATGACTGGATCCCTATAGGGATCTGTAGGGCAAGAACCCCGGGAGCCCGTCGTTTCCGCAGCGAATGGCACCGAACGCACGCCCGACGTCTCGCGCGATGAGGATCGCGGCCAGGCGTCAGGATGCAGCTCACGCGATCGCCCAGCTGCAGCACCCGCGACGCGTCGTGGAGCGGCTCGCGGAGCGGCGAGACGCTCCGCTCGGCGGTCTCCATGGCCGACCCGAAAGGAACCAACGTCTCCTTCTGGGTGGGAACGGCGGGCTGGGTCGGCGCCCGCCAAAACTTGGTTGGTCCGCCTGCTTTTGTTGGCGGATGATGGATGGGTCCATGGAAAAAAAAGAAAAACCATGATGGGTTCAGCTGAAGGCACCATGTCCTTCAGGAAACATGAACAAAGTAAGCCCTTAGATATCCGATGATATCCGGCAGGACATTGAAATTTAAGCCTACTCTCAACGCGTTTAAGATTGACTCATCTGACTCACTCATCTCTTCCCGAGCCTTTAAAGACAAAAAACAGGTTGACGGTTGACCTGTTGTTGCTGTTGTTGCTGTTGTTGCTGTTGTTGCTGCTGTTGTTGTTGTTGCTGTTGCTGTTGCTGTTGCTGTTGCTGCTGCTGCTGCTGCTGTTGCTGTTGCTGTTGCTGTTGGTGTTGTTGTTGTTGTTGTTGTTGTTGTTGTTGTTTAAAATCCTTAGTACCACAGTGATTGTTCGGTAAAGCCCATGAAGACCATGGTGGCTCGAATCCTAGGTCTTGACTTGCTTCCTCAGGCCCCGAACGATCCGTCGGGCAATTCGCACGCCTGGCCCCCTTCGGGGTGGCTGATGCCAAGAACAGAAGTGCGCGGCGCGGCGGATGGCATCACACCGAGCATCTCGGAGGTCGTGCAAAGAACTCGGCAAAAGGTCGTGCGCTGGTGTGGCTTGCCTTCACCCTTGGGATTGAGATCCCAGCGAAGGAAGCACTTAGTTGAGCAATGTTGAGAACACAAAAAGTGAAAGACATCACAAAACTGCCAAAAACACAATGACATTGAAATGAGATAGGAAGGAGAAGGTATGCTCATGCTAGTTGTTCCAATGGGTGTTGTGACGAACATCCGGTTGACTGAGAGGGGTCTGAGGCAAGTACTGCTGGGAGAAAAACTGACCTCAGCCTCAAATGCTGTGGGGTCATTTCCCATACTACGCATTTGCATCCAGCAGTGCGCAAGTAAAAAGAATACTTTGCACACGGGTTGAAAACGCTATGCGTGTGCAAGTGCCCAAACACCAAACGCACAATTCTTGCGGCAAATACAGGAGACTCAGTAGATCAATCTCTCGTTCTTGCGCGTCTCCGGTCCACTTTTTTCCTTCAAAGCGGCGCTCGAAGGTCAAGCGATCATTGCTCAGTCTCCTGGGCAAAGACTTGGAACGAACATGTGGGGTCTCTGCCCAAAGACCAGCGACTCTACAGAGTGCGTAGGATTAGCATCTGCAGGACTGATCAACCATGTATTCAGCAAATCTCCTGGTGACACATATGGCGAGATACCCAGTTTCAAAGGGGTGTCTTTTGGAGGACAGTGTGCCCATAATTTCACACCGCCTATAGGGATTCAAAACCACTCCATTGAAACTGTTGCTGCCATTTGCTACTTAACTTGTGCACGGCCACCTGGCATGTTGCGATTCTTCCCACCATCTCCCAAACTGTGAAGGGCCAAACCCATGTGACGACATCACGTCAAACAACCACCGGGTCCCTCGCTTGTCGCGTGGCCTGAGCGCTGATCTCCTCTTCGAGCTCATGGTCATCTGATTCCAAACCTCGGAGGTAGTCGAGGCACGAGTTCGGGGGCTTGGCAAAACATCGACGAAAACACAATCCCGGAAAGAGGCCCCAAACAGTGTATAGTGTGTCTACAAGCCTCAACACTGTTTGGGGAAAAAACATTGGCTAGCCATCTCAACCTGAGACAGTTTGGCAGCAAATGTTCGACACATGGGACACACACGAGTCGTGTGCAAGAAACATGGTGCCAAAGTTAAAGTGATCTTCGTGGGACATCTGCAAAGTGGGCCCCACCTCTAGCTGCAAGTTGCAGTTGAGCAATTGAGCATTACCCTTAGCTATTCATTGGTGGGCCGGGGCAAATGTAGAATATCAAACACCAATGTCACCTGACAACGCCGATAATATGTTGCGGAAATTTGGATGCCTTTGGGACTTTGCCCATAGCTGAATTTACTGCAGGATAAACTAGGATGACCATACGGGTGTGTGTCTGTCAATAAAGGGGCAACCAACCCATGGGTTGTGGTCTGCTTTCCTTCTTCCAAAGAGCGTTTGGGAGGTCTTGGCACCTTCTTCTGATCAGGTGGGACCAAAAAGTCCCCTGGAAGGCGGGCCAGAATCAAACATGATGAGCACACCCGTCGCTCCTGAATGGTGGATGGGATGGATGGCTACGAAACATGTCCAAGATTGGCTACAAAATGCAAATCTTGGGGCAACGACGCACGTTCAAGCACAATTCAAGAATCCCGACAAAAGCGCACATTGGAGTTTGGAGAATTCAGCGAGATCCATGTTCAAACGTTTCCCTCTTCTCAGCCGGTGAGTTGAGGCTCCCAACTGGGATCACCCTGGCGTTTCTTGACCGGTGGTCGAGTGGAACATTGGGGAAAGTGGTGTCTCCTGAGCTTGTTGATGCCCAAAAAAGTCGCAGTGCTTGCACGTCAAGATGTTAACATACCTGGAGCCCAAAACAACTGTTTTTTGTCGTTTTGAAAACAACCGTTTGGTCGTTTCAAAAAAATCGCTTCGTCTGCCACCTTGGAATGGCACCTTCCTCCTTTAAATTGTATTCGCTGCTTCCTTCCTTCCTTGCTTGGCGCTGGCGACCTATTGGGTTTGAGTCTTCGGTCTTGTTGATGTTGAGGCAGTGGACCAAAAGTCGACAAATCTGCAACTCCAAGGTTTGGCCAACGCAATGCCACGTTGGGCATTTCCCACAGATTCAGTCCGCGTACGTTCGAAAATAGGCCTCCCGATCAAACGAGATCGACTCCTGGCTGGACGCCATGTGGAATCAGCGCCAGATGCTGAACAGGAGGCAAGTATGGGATGGTCCTCCAGTCCCAGTGATGAAGGATGATGCGCCAACCCTTTGCGC